AGACCCAGGCAAAAACCTGGGGCATTTTCTGGGGAAGGTCCCAAAAGATCTCTCTAGGGGTTCAAAAAGCTCCCCAGGGGAAGTTCTAAGGGTGAACTCCCAGGAGTCAGAAAAATATTTGATGAGGTCCTCAAGAAGTGACTCAAAAAATGATTTATCAGGAAGTGTAAACAAAAATCATCTGGGAAACATGCTAACACTCCACTTAGGCCTGAAGTCAGGGCAGATCAATGAGGGTTTGATCCCGCTCAGTGTGCGTCAATCCTGGCTTGCTCTCAACTCTCCTTTTTCCAGGTCTGACACCCAGGTAGTAACTGGGAATCTAGCACTGTCCAAAAGTTGGGAAGAAGCCTGCACAAGTTCCTCCCAGGAGTTTTACTTCCTAAAACCTTGCACTCAGCAGATGTTGGAAGAACATATTACAAAGTTTCGGGCCAAGCACAAATGGGGCCTGCCCCTCAAGGTCCTGAAGCCCATAAATGTCTTTAAATTGAAAAAAGCTGAGTCCTTACCCCTTACACTATGTGCCTTGCCCTCCTCAACCACCTGTGAATCTGGGATTGACAAGCTCCTGGTAAAACCACCTCAGGTAGGTCCAAGAGAAGTGACCAAAGAATCAGTTCCCACACTATCAAGTTGCCTCCTTGTCTCCTCCCCTGCAAATCAGGAGATCCAGAGGGCCCTGAGAGTGCCTTCATGGAGCCATGACCATGGGTCCTCAGAGGCTCCTCCACCTAGACAGGAGAGAAGGCAACCTTCTCAGTCCCTCTCATGCAACCTCGTGGGCAGAACCAGGCAGAGTGGGACTGTCCTTGTGGCCGGGAGGGACAGCCTGCAGATAAGACCAAGTTCAACAATGACCAGGAATGAACAAGGGAAGAAGTATGGGGACTGGGCCACACAAGACCCATACCACAGCGTAGCACTGTTGGAGATGAACTTAGGATCCCAGTCTTTGAAAGCCGAAGAGACGAATGAAACAGTGCCAACATGCAGCATCCTCTTGGAAACCAGTGTGCTAGCAAACCTTCAAGCCACAAATGAGAAGAGTGGTTTAGAGACTTCAGGGACCAGCGAAAGTCTCCTACTTCCTAGCATGTCTGTCACCCAAAAGGCAGGAAAGCCATGCCTTAAGACAAAAGTTAGTGTAGTAGAGCCCAGTGTGGAGATAAAGTCAGAAAGCCGGACTCAAGTTTGTGACATGGGTTCGCTCCTTCCAGACTGTTCTGCTGGCATGTCCCTTGTTGAAGACTGCTTGGCTACTCAGACATCACAGTGTCATCTCCAGTGTGTCCCCATGGGGAACATGCCAACTTCCCAAGTGGTAAGTGACCACACAGTAGCTAGAAAGAGCAAGTTGAGGCAGCTGGAGACCGGGAGCTCAAACCATCGGGGTTCATGGAAGAGCCAAAGCAATATTTTTACCTCTACCTACAAGAATGAGGACTGCAGGAGGCGCAACCCAAGAAAGCATGAAGAAAGAGTTGAAAAATTATTAACCTCCCAACTTACCCCAGTCAGGAGAATAGACAGCCTTGAGAGTAAAAGAGTCCAGATCCTGCTGCAAAAGGAACGGGTTCCTTCGGAAAGCCCATTCAAAAAGAAACTGAGGTGCTTTCTTCACTGGATTTTCTGTAAGATAAAAGGCAAAAGGCAAGAAGGCCCTCTGCAAAAAGGCAAGCTTTCACCAGCCACTGCCCAGAGCCAAGGACCATTCAAAACCAGGTCATGTGTGGGCAAAAACACTGAGGAAGCTCAGCATCTCATGACAACTCTCGAACAAGTACTAGAGAAGAAAATGGTGCTTCACCACAGAATTCGAGCCTCAAAGTTAAAACAGTGCAAAGAGGAACTCAAAGGCCCAGCCCTGAAGTTTTCTTGCAAGCGCAAACTTCCCTTAAACACAGAGCAAAAGAAAAGGTCAAGTTATGCAGCCTGCAACCAACAAGCCACAACTAAGAGGCAGGTTTGTTCTCTCAGAGAAAGGCAAGTTAGAAACCAACAGTCATTGAAAAATACACGATTCTGGAATGAGCCAAGAGGCCCAAGTCATTCCCAACTCCTGCTCCTCAGAAAGGCTGCGACCCTAGCCCATCCCTGTCAACACAGGCCAAGGATGCTAAATGTCTCCGGCCACCGTCACCATTGCCCAAGGCACTGTCTTGTTCGGAGAGGTGTTTTGTCTTGGCAGCCAAAACATTTTTCTCTTGCGTTTCCTAGAAAAATATGTCTCTGAGAAAATAATTCAATTCCTATCGAGAAAAATTAATTTTTCTCATGTTAGTACATCTAAAATATTTAATGTTCCCCAATATATATGTTTTTCTTCTCCTAAGTGGCCTCTGTCTATGTCCTGTTTGGTGAGAGTTTTGTATTCTAGAAGGGATGGGGCATGGAGGGAGTTGACAGAGGTGTTGAAGCTCTCCCTCATCACTGAATATATGATGTATTCATAGTACCATCATTACACAAACCAAAGCAACTACTCTTAAAATAAGATGGAAAAATTCTATGAAGATCCTACCCCAGGATCTGGTGCAACTCATCTTTCCCTTCTTTCTCCCTACCTTGAACTTGATGTACCTGCAGGAAACAGTTTAGCAGAGTGAGCATAGGACTGAATATTACCACACAGGCTCCAGGAAGGATCGGAGCCTAGCGGCTTCCCATGTCACAAAATAATAGATATCATAATAGTTTGAATGGGAGGGTCCTGGGCCCTCATTTCAGATGAGGGAGAAATCTTGTCTCCAGAAATCTGCATTCTTTCTTCTTTTTCTTCTTCTTCTTCTTCTTTTTTTTTTTTAAAATGACCAGAAGGCATGTGTACCCACCAGAGACAGAGAGATGGAGAGGGAGAAAGCACCCCTCTTCCTAATAGGGTGTGGTCATATTGCAATTCCTTCTCCTCCATCTCCCATCCTGACAAGATTTAGAGCACCCACGCATGTGCACCTAGTGGTTTCTCAAAGCACCAGGGCTGGGATCCACATCCCATCATCAGCCATTTAGGCTCCCTTCACCACCACGCCATGGGGCTAGTCCTCTTGCCACAGAATCACTGGGTGGATAACATAAGACAGCCATGGGGAGCCCTTTGTCTTCCTAACAAAAACTGGCATGGAGATGGACTCTCTTAATTCAGTCTTACTGAAAAGTATGGAGTCACCATCCCACAGCCTCTGCCTTTCTCAAACATTAGTATGCAGAGAGGACAGAAATCCAGCCTGTGCACGGTGGTAGTGGGGCTTCAGGCAGGCTGCTGAGGACCATGTCACTCCTGCTCCAAATGAAATGGATGGGCTTGCACACAGGTGACCTGCCTTGGTCTATCTCATCTATGACTAAACTCTGGAGATGAAGTTCTGTGTGAATGGAACAGGCTGAATGAAGCCTCAAGGAAGGCGGTAAAGTGGCATGAGGGCACCACAAATGATGCAGTGAATGAAGAGCCCTTTACATCCCACCTCCAGCCACAGAGGGGAGAAAACACGGGGGGGAGGGCCTCAGTGGCTTCACCTAGTTCCCTCCTGGGGTTCCCTCTGCTATAGTCTCAGATCACAGAGCTAGAGAAGCCACTTTGGTTCCTACATGGGAGGCCAGAGTAGGGAGGAAGTAAAGCCTTTAAGCAGAAAAGACAAACTTGCTAACTGTGTTAAGTTTGCACATCTCACCTCTTGAATTCTAGAAAGGATGAGTTGACAGTACCTGGAAAACCAGGACGAGAGACTGGCGTGACTCACAGTCTGGGACCTTGACATATACACGTGGCCTCCGGGCTGCTCCCAGGTAGAGGTGGGGGCCTAAAGGGGCTAAGGGTTGGCCTAGAGGCATACAATAAGTGTCACCTACTCCCAGTCCTTTCTTGCTGCAGAGACCAACAGACGAGAAAATCAGGCAGGATTTGTGCACACAAGGAGGCTGAAGCGACCTATCCAAATGGAGGTGGTAGGGACAGTCTGGGAGGGCCCCTGCTCTGCTCTTACTCTGCTGTTAGCACAAGTTTCCTCTCATCTGGGCCCCCATTAGTGAGGGAAAGCAGGAGGGGTCCCACAAAGAGAGAGGAGGCGCTGTTTCTCCAGAGTGTTCCATACCTATGCCACGGTAGGCACAGCTCCAGAGTCCTCAGCCCCTCCGTGGAGAGTCCTATGCCCAGAGGTGCCCCTGATCCAGATGACAATGGGAACGGGCCCTGCTTCCCACGTACGGAACCTGTTGGCTCATGGGGTGCACACAGTACCCAGTGCCAGGCTGCTGGTGCCATGGGTTTCTCTTGGAGTCAGGTCCCATCTCTGGGACCCAGATGTCTGAGGTGACCTCAAAGTGGGCCCAGCAATTAGAGTGAAGCCAGGACCTACAGAAAGGGACAGGACCTAAAGCAGTGAGAACCCCCACTTCCTGCTCTGAGGAGCTCAGCCAGGTGGCATAGGGCTGGGACCCTGACCTCCAAGGAGAGGCCTTGCCTTTGTGTTGCTGGTCTCTCTCAGGTCACTGAGAGTCAAACTCTGGGATGTGGAGAAACTGGACAAGGCCCCCAGAAGGGGTGCCGTAAAAGGGCAACACTGAGGGGCCAGCAAGAAACAGGAAGGAGCAGGTCCCTCTGCCTTTTCACTGCTCAGAGCCCCATAAGGCGTAGGGAGGTCAATGAGGAAGAGATCCACAGGAACCTAAAAAAGATGTCACACAGGAACCAGCAGTTAGCATAATGGCTATGTTGCTGGACTCCCATGTAGTTGACCGCAGTTCACGTCCCGGACCCGATGGTTTAAAACTCACGCCGGGTGCATGTGCGTGCGTGCCCAAGATCCTGAGAGGAGAATGGAGGAGAAGGGATTGTGGCATGACCATCCCCCCTGGGGGTGATTTCTCGCTTTCTGTCTCTATGTCTCTCTCTGTCTGTCTGGTGAGTGCACGCGCCCTATAGCCAAAATCTCTCACAAAAAAAAAAAAAAGATGTCATACAGAAATGGCACACAGGGACCTCCCACAGGACCTCAGAGAGAGATCTCATACAGAGATGGCACATAGAGACCTCCTACAAGAACTTCGCAGAGAGCTCTCATACAAAAATAGCACACAGACACCCCTCACTGACACACAGACACACTGAAACCTCCCAGAGGCCTCCCACAGAGACCTCTCAGAGACATAACAAACAGTAACTTTTTACTTCTCACAGAAGCCTTGTACAGATTCCTCACACGTTGACTTCAGTTCGCTCCGTAGTCATTTCATAGAGAAGTCCCACAGTCTCCCACAAAGAATCCTGTCCTCACACAGGGAGCCCATGCAGAGATTGCATGGGATGGGAGCAAGGAGGGTCTCATAAATGTCCTTCTATAGACATCTCCCATATACGCTTCCTACAGAGCCCTGACATAGAGACCTCATGCAGAGACTTCCCATAGAGGCCCCCAAAGTGATCAGACACAGAGTCACTGGTTTGCTCTACAGATACCATGCACAGGGAACTTGCCCCAGAAACCTCAGAGACACAGCACACTTAGACCTGCCACTGCCCCATGGAGATCTCACACATGGACTCCACGTTGCCCACAGACCCTCATACAAACCCCCCCACAGAGACCTCCCACAGAGACCTCACAGAGAGATAACAAACGGTAACTTCTTACTCCTCACAGAAACCTTGTACAGATTCCTCGCACAGAGATTTCACACAGGGACATCCCACAAGGCTGACAGAGACCTCTCACAGAGACTCATGCTGAGACCTCCAAAGATATTTCCTACAGAAGACTCACATAAAGGTACCTCAGTGATCTCCTTGCTCCATAGAATCCTCCCAGAGACTTTATGTTGCCTCAGAGACCTCACACAGAAAACTTTCGCAGAGATTTCACAGAAACATCCCCCACAAAACCCACATAGATACTGTGTACAGAGTCTCCACAGAGACCTCATTCAAAGTACTCACCAGAAACCTGACACACAGAACTCGCTTCAAGTTTTCCCACACAGAACACAGTCTTCACCAGAAACCTCACACACAGATACTCCACAGGGACCTGACACAGATGCTTCACAAAGACCAACACAGAGACCTCATGCTCAGTCTTGTCTTTCCTTTTTTTTTTTTTTTTGAGAGGGTTTTGTTATAGGGCACGTGCACTCGCCAGAAAGACAGAGAGACAGAGAGACAGAAAGCAAGAAATCACCCCCTCAGGGGGGATGGCCACGCCACAATCCCTTCTCTTCCATTCTCCTCTCGGGATCTTGGACACACACGCACACATGCCTGGTGTGAGTTTAAGCCACCAGGTCCAGGACTTGAACCACAGTCAACTACATGGAAGTCCAGCAACACATCCATTACGCCATCTGCTGGTCCTTCTCATGCTCATTCTTTAGAATCCTTCATTGTGGATATGAAATCACATCGTAAACTGGCAACACAGGAGGGATATCAACAGTTACGTCTTCCTCAGAATCCTGGGACACTCAGACATTGTCAGCATTGCACCAGATGGAATTCTTTGCTTAGAGAAATGCTCATGAGTTTTCTTTTGTAATAGAACTTATAATTGCCTCTTGAACAAACGAATTATGGATTCCACGTGTAGACCTGCAAAATCCTTTCTTCTGTATGTTTTCATTAGCTTTAACTCTGACTCAGTTTAGAGAATCCCAGTTTTTAAATATGAGTAAAACACTGCCAGTCTCTAATGAAACAAACTCTCTGTCCAGTGTGTTATCATCCAGCCAACTAGTATCCACGTGACATTTTTTATTTTGTATGGAGATAAGATCTGACCGTAAGATGGCTTACTTCTTTACTTCAGAAATACTATAAATATCTGCATTAAATGGACTCTTGAAATAAAATAAACTAGCAAAGAGGCATCTGGACTCCCACTGGCCTCCCAGGGGACTGTGCCATTAGTACTTTATTTTGCATATAACAGGTTGGGCCAGTTTTGTGAGGTTTGCTTTATTTTAGCAAGCTAATAATCACAGAAGTTCTCCACTAATAGGGCAAATCTCTAGCAATATTCTTATCTCGTATATTACCTGACAAACTTATACTTAATGATATTACTTTATCCTTAAAATATATTGGGTCATTAGAAAAGTCATGACGTATTTTTCTATGTAGAAATGTGTCATGACTTTCCCAACAACCCAATAGTAATGCCTTTGGAGAGCAGTTTTGTACATGTTTCCAGACTATGACAAAGTCCTAATGTTCATCTAACATAGCTTAAACAGACAGCCTATTTAGAAGGATTCTTTTGGTTTTTTTTGGAGAGGGTTTTTTTTTTTTTTTTTTGCTATAGGGCACGTGCGC